ATTTCAGATGTACGGAGCCAAAATCTGGAACAGAAAATGTGAGATAGGCTTCTTCTCTGTCAACGATCAGATTAAAAAACAGTTCCGTCTATCTCGTATCTCCACTCTTTTTAATGCACTCCGATTATTTATGATTGTAATGCCCTGTGGGACTTTTTCTATCTTTGTAGCACTTCGAGTTGAGTATGAAACGCGCCTTACACACACACAGCTTTATGAGGTATTAAACAACGTGGCTTAAAACAGCAGAAAAATCCCCTTTGAATAAGTCTCCTTTAACACTTAACCAGGTTGGGAGCGCATTTATGTTTTCCAGGCGCGCTCTCGAGGGACTGCACGCCTGCCGCTGTCACCACTACAGCGTTATTAGCGGCGCTCTTTCAGAAAGACCGTATTTATAGCTGCGTCTCGTCCCCTTTCCGCACATTCAAAAGCGCTGAGCCTGAGTGGCAGCAAATTAGCATTTCTATTGGCGTCGCGGGTCAAAAATGTCGCGTTTTTGTAAAAGCGAAATCATCCCAGAGCTTATGTGGTTACAGGAAATGATGTGGGAATTCAACAAGAGCCTGCAGATAGTGACATAACCGCTGCCAACAAGTTTTTTGGAAATTATAGTTTTAAGAGCAGAAAAGCAATCGTTGAGTCAAAACAGGTTTCGTTGTTTGTCTAAAACTTCAGCTGGTGTTGAAGTTTATGTAATGCTTTTTCTCCGGAAGCAGGATTTTGATGTGACAAAGACTGTTTACTTTTCTGGTCTCTGTCTCAGGTCTCTGTCTGGTCTCTTGTCTCTTTCTCTGGCCTTTATGGACTTGTCACTCTTTGCTCTCTCACTGGTCTCTTTCTCTCTCTCACTGGTCTCTTTCTCTCTCTCACTGGTCTCGCTCTCTGGTCTCTCTCTTTGGTCTATCTCACTGGTCTCTCCCTCTCACACTGGTTTCTCCCTCTGTTCTCTCTCTCTGGTCTCTCTCTCTGACTGGTCTCTCTCTCTGGCGTCTCAATAGTCTCTCTCTCTCACTGGTCTCTCTCTGACACTGAGCTATAGTAGTTTACTTTTACATGTATGTCAATAGCGGCCAGAGCGAGTTGGAGCAAAACTTCACCATGAGCACTTCCCTGTTGGGCTACACTGAGCTAGCGGATCAGCATGGTCAATCTATATACATTAGTAACAAACAAGTGTCACTCTTTGCTCTGGCTATAGTTGCTAGGTTGTTGCTTTCCAAGAATTTAACTGCAGATTCTCGGTGAACAAAGCATATTTTCTCATGGAGCCTGTGAGTTACATTGAAAAGTGTTGATAGACAAAAGTGACAATGTTTTAATTCAGACAAATTAAAACGTTTATTGAGGTTTTGGTGATCAGACGAATATGACGAGTGATAGCAGTGACAGTGGGTTGGCCAGGAATAAATATGGAGCTATTATTGTTTCAATAATATTTGTGTGTGCGTAAAAAGATTTGTGCGTGCGTAACCAGATTTGTGTGTGCGTACCCAGATTTGTGTGTGCGTAACCAGATTTGTGCGTGCGTAACCAGATTTGTGTGTGTGTAAAAGAAATATTTGTGCGTGTGTAAATAGATTTGTATGTACGTATCAAGATTTGTGTGTGCGTAAAAAGATTTGTGTGTGCGTAAAAAGATTTGTGTGTGCGTAGAAAGATTTGTGTGTGTGTAAAGAAAAAAAAAAGTAAGTTTTACACACAAGTTTTTTTTTTACACACGAATCTTTTGACGCAGTCCTGCCTTCGCAGATTCGCAAGTGTAACTTGGACTGTGTGCGTGCGTAAACAGATTTGTGTGTGTGTAATTTGACATTTGTATCTGTAGCAGAACAATTTGTGTGTAAATAACCGCGTTGTACAAAGAGAAGAACGAAAAAAGCCTAAGTGCTACGCACAGGCTCTGTTTTACACACGAATCTCTTTTTGACACACCTCTGCCGCCAAGCGTGTGTCAAAAAGATTTGTAAGTGTAATGTGGTTGTTCTAGCAGTACACCAGCAGATGGTGCTGTTGTAGCTGGTTATTACCTACACGCAAGCAAACCAACAAGTGTAGATAGAGAAAACCGAAGGATTTAAGAAGAAGAAAAGTTCAGGATGACAAGGAACACTAAAATTCCCACAAAATCCGACCTTTATGAAAGCTGTAGGTTATCTGTCAGCTGTTTTAGTTTACTTTGAGTTCTATGGGGAAAATTTCTGTGTAGCCAACGTGAATTTAGTCTGCAGTACGTGAGAATCCTTCAGCTCCAAGCTAGTAACACCCTATCCAGTTATTATAATAGATCCATGTATCATACAGTGGTGTGAATGACAGGATTTTGAAAATAGGAAAAAAATATCATAAACAGCTGCGGTAGTGTGTCTTGTCAAGGCAGTAGGTTTTGGTTTGCTTGCGTGTAGGTAATAACCAGCTACAACAGCACCATCTGCTGGTGTACTGCTAGAACAACCACATTACACTTACAAATCTTTTTGACACACGCTTGGCGGCAGAGGTGTGTCAAAAAGAGATTCGTGTGTAAAACAGAGCCTGTGCGTAGCACTTAGGCTTTTTTCGTTCTTCTCTTTGTACAACGCGGTTATTTACACACAAATTGTTCTGCTACAGATACAAATGTCAAATTACACACACACAAATCTGTTTACGCACGCACACAGTCCAAGTTACACTTGCGAATCTGCGAAGGCAGGACTGCGTCAAAAGATTCGTGTGTAAAAAAAAAACTTGTGTGTAAAACTTACTTTTTGTTTTCTTTACACACACACAAATCTTTCTACGCACACACACATCTTTTTACGCACACACAAATCTTTTTACGCACACACAAATCTTGATACGTACATACAAATCTATTTACACACGCACAAATATTTCTTTTACACACACACAAATCTGGTTACGCACGCACAAATCTGGTTACGCACACACAAATCTGGGTACGCACACACAAATCTGGTTACGCACGCACAAATCTTTTTACGCACACACAAATATTATTGAAACAATAATAGCTCCATAAATAAAGCAGTTATTTCTCCGTCAGCTGAAGGAGCAGAGAGAGCGAGTAACTGACAGACGAATATATGAAAGAAACACAGGATTTTAACATCATAATAACTCAAAGTTATGGAACAGCTAGGGTCTCTCTCTCTCTCTGATCTCCTACTCTGGTCTCTCTCTTTCAAGTTTCTCTCTCTGAGCTCTCTCTCTCTGGTCTCTCTCTCTGTCCCTCTGGTCTTCCTCTTGTGTCCCTTCACTCTCTGTCACGTGCTGAGAAGGATGAGGACTCAAAAAGCAGGAATGCCAAAAAAATAATTATTTAATGATAACAAAATAAAAGTCCAGGTTAAAACTCAAAAATTCCAAAAGGCACAAGCAGCAACGAAACAGGAACAGACATGACAAGAGAGGACGGAGGTTGACAATACAATGGACCAGCAACAAGAGGAGAGCACACACACACAACCACAACCCTGACAATACCCCCCCCCTAAGGGACAGGAACAGCCCTATGGAATTCCGCAATCAGGGCTGGGTCCAAAATACGGGCCCGGGGCACCCAAGAACGCTCCTCCGGGCCATACCTCTCCCAGTCCACCAAGTATTGCAAACCCCTACCCCGCCGGCGCACATCCAGGAGGCGACGAACTGAAAACACAGGGCCACCATCAATCACCAGGGGGGGGAGCGCAGGGTACTTATAGACAGACACAGGTGAAACACATTAGGGCGGGGCAGACAATCAAGACAGGGGAAACAGGGCGTCAAAGTCAAACAAAAACCAAAGCACAGAACACAGAATATCAAAATAAAACTAAAGTCCAAAATAACAAAATCCACACCGTGACAGTACCCCCCTCCAAGGGACAGCTCCCAGATGTCCCCAGAAAATAAACGCGAGCCAGGGAGGGTGGAGGGGGCAGTCCAGAGGTAGGAACAACCACAGACCAGAGGCAATGTTCGATGGGCAGAATCGAGGGCAGGAACTAGAACCCAGTGATGACCTTCCACAAAAGGTCTGGCTCACCCCGAACGAAGACGAATGTCTGGCGGTGACGCAGCAACAGGAGCAGAACCACCCCAGACGGAGATCCATGTCTGGCGGTGGCAACGGGTGAAGGGAAGGAGAGGTCATCATTGGGTAGCAGCCAAGAAAATCCAGACAGACAGCACCATCCAGGCCAGAGCGTCACTGTAGACCTCTCAACATGTCAGGGGGGGGGGGGGGGGGGGGACAGAAGACCACCCCGGACGGAGACAAATACCCGGCGGTGGTACAAAGGGACAAGACCACCCCAGACGAAGGTTGATGTCTGGCGGTGGTTCCAGAAACAGGTTGAGAGGTCAGCGGTGATGAGGCGAAAATTAAATAAAAACCTGATGAATGGGATGACGAACTGGGAGCAGGTGTGGAAAAAGGGCATTCCGCTGAGTCCTTTTGTGGCTGGTCCATTCTGTCACGTGCTGAGAAGGATGAGGACTCAAAAAGCAGGAATGCCAAAAAAATTATTATTTAATGATAACAAAATAAAAGTCCAGGTTAAAACTCAAAAATTCCAAAAGGCACAAGCAGCAACGAAACAGGAACAGACATGACAAGAGAGGACGGAGGTTGACAATACAATGGACCAGCAACAAGAGGAGGAGCACACACACACACACACCCTGTGTGTGTGTGTGTGCTCTCCTGACACTCTCTCTAGTTTCTCTGGTCTCTCTCTCTCTCCACGCACGCTCTCTCTCTCTCTCTAGTCTTTCTGGTCTCTCTCTCTTGTTTCTCTCTTGTTTCTCTCTCCTTCTCTCTCTCTCGCTATCCTCTCTCTCTCTCTCTCTCTCTCTCTCTCTCTCTCTCTCTCTCTCTCGCTCTCGCTCTCTCTCTCTCTCTCTCTCTCTCTCTCTCTCTCTCTCTCTCTCTCTCTCTCTCTCTCTCTCTCTCTCTCTAGTCTCTCTGGTCTCTCTGACTTTCTCTTCATCATTGTCTGTAATTGGCACTAATGCTCTCCCTGTCTGATGCCTCTGAGTGCAGTGGGACGAGCGGCTCTTCAGAAGTCCGACCTCGAGATGAGATCAAAGGTGCTGGGATCAGTCTGATGTGAAGGAGAGAGACCCGCCCCCCGGGACCACCCCGCCTGAGTTTCCCACGCTGCTTTACACCCTCAGCAGCGAGAGGATCATCAACACAAACAACAATGTCTGTAAACAGGAGGAAGCTAAGGAGGCAAAGCAAACAGGAGGAGCTGTTAGCAAGACAACAACGACCTCTGATGTTTCTGACCACCATTATGGTATTCTGTATGTGATCGCCACACGCCCCAGACCAGCCAGACCCCCACGTCCCAGACCAGTCAAACTCCTAATAAGCAACAGTCTGGACCTGTCTCTGAGCTGCTCTTTTTAAGGCCTGTGTTTGATCAGACACTTGGACGTCAAACTTTGCACTTCCAATGTCACTTTTTGAAATTTGAAATATTTTTACCCCTTTTCCACAGAAGATATCTTGTATCTTTTGACTTTTTAACTGTTTGCACATTATTGGCAAACCTTGGGGGATTTTATTGAAGCCAAATGTAAATGTCCAGTAATGTAAATTGTGAGAACAACTTAACTTATTTTGTAAAATGTGTAAAGGGATTTTAAGGAAGATACTGATGTCAACATAAGTATCTTCTTTTTCACTTCTTTAAACCCACTTTTATCGAACAGCTTTTAACTGTTAGTTTTAAAACTTCACGTTGTATTTTACTGTTCCACTCTGTCTTTGTTTTGTCTTCCTGTATCCACTGTTCATTAGTTTGACTTTGTATTATTAGGCCCGAGCCCCAACTGGGGTAAGGGCCTATTGCTTTTCCAACGAGTAATGCCTGGGCGAAGCTTGTTGAATTATTGAGATTGTTTTTATCGATGATTATGCTGACTGTGCAGTGCTTTGTAAACATTGTTTTTGAAAAGTGCTATACAAATAAAAATGTATTATGTATTATTATGATTACTTATAACAACAAACATGTGTGCATCAAAAACAATCAATATCAAATGATCAGTCTCCTCATAAGTCAGACACAAGAACAAAGTGTCAGACATGCTAATGCTAACAGACATGCTAACGTTAACAAACAATACTGCTAATGGTAAAAAACATGCCAACGCCATGGATCTATTATAATAACTGGAGGTGTTACTCGCTTGTAGCTGAATAACTCATGTGCTCAGGGGATTCTCGCGGTACTGCAGACTGAACCAGACTAAATTCACGTGGGCTACCCAGAAATTTTCCCCATAGAACTCAATGTAAACTAAAACAGCTCAACCTCAGCTGAAAGAGAACCTACAGCTTTAATAAAGGTCAAATTTTGTGGGGATTTTAGTGTCCCTTGTCCCTTGCGCGGCCGAGCCCCTCTGTGCACGTGCGTGGGACCCGGTGTGAGACCCACACACACATGTTTGGCGCAACGCATTATGGGAGATCATCCACGGCGCAGAACCGGGAGGACCAGACGATGCCCAAATACAGGCGAGTTTCCCATAGATCTTTGCGAGTTCCAGACGACTTCCGCTTTGTGCCCCCATGCTGTCACAAAGCGCCACTGAGCACAACCATTCATTTGAATAGGGCGCCATCTTGGATCGCCGGGGCTTGGCCAACGCTGACATACTGTACATGCTAATGTTGGCATATAACGCTGACATACATGCTAACATTGACATGCTAACGCTAACAGACAGCCCAATCAGAAAATGTATGGCTTAACTTTCAAGGTCTCATATTTAGCTCCTCATGTTTCACAGTCCATGCTGAACACATGTGTAATAATAATTTGCATGACACAACATTCAACATCGACGCCATTTCTTGCATTAATCAATTGAAACTGGTTCTCAGCTGATTTCCCTGTGAGCCGCCTCCACACACCTCGGTCACATCTTTGGATCAGCTTTTTCAGACAGAGAAGTGACAAAGAGAGGACCTCACTCAGTCAATCCTCTCTCTCCCTGAAGAGTCAAACGATGACTCACATGGTTCTTTCTTATGCTGAAGATAAGACAGCCTGTTGTGCTCTGATTGACTCTTTATTCTCAAATTGTCTCCTCCACAATAAACAGGCTGCCTCTCGCTGTTATTTTAAAACCTCGTACTTCTCTAAACGTCTGTCCCGCTGCGTAACTGTGCGTCTATCAGGAGCGCGTTCGCCGCCACAATAAAAGCCCTGCCGTCAGCGCGGCAGTGGCGTCAGCTCAGCGGAGGCCCGGGCGTCAGCTCAGCGGAGGCCCGGTCCTCAGCGCTCAGGCCTCAGCGGGGGGAACTGGCGCTGGCTCAATAACTCAACATTACGGCTATTGGCCTCATGCCAAGATAATGACAGGATACGAGCTGTTACCGCAACGATGGAGGAAGAGGAGGAGGCACGCTGCACACACATACTTAGGAAACAGACAGAATTTGGCCAAAAATAACAATTGTAAAGCGCTTTGTGACTTCAATGTTTTCACATTTTGTTTTGTTCCTCACAATTCTACACACAACACCCTATAATGACATGTAAACGTTTTTTTGAGATCCTTGCCAATTTCTTAAAAATAAAAAAACTAATAAATCACATGTACATAGGTATTCACAGCCTTTGCCATGAAGTTCCAAATTGAGCTCAGGTGCATCCTGTTTCCACGGATCATCCTTTAGATGCTTCTACTGCTTCACTGGAGTCCACCTGTGATAAATTCAGTTGATTTGGAAAGGCACACACCTGTTTAGAAGGTCCCACAGTTGACAGTGCATGTCAGAGCACAAACCAAGCATGGAGTCAAATTAATTGTCTGTAGACCTCTGAAACAGCATTGTCTCGAGGCACAAGTCTGGGGAAGGGGACAGAAACATTTATGCTGCTTTGAAGGTCCCAATGAGCACAGTGGCCTCCATCAACCATACACACAATACAATTTATTCTTGTATAGCCCTAGGTCACAACAGAAGTCATCTCAGAGGACTTAACAAAACCATTGAATTCACCAACACAGATCAGAGAATCAACAGTTAAAACACATGAAGAATACAGTATAAAGCACACACAGAAGAAAATGTCCATACATGTTGTAGAATGCTAAAGTGTCCTGATCATCACCAATCCTTTCTGTTGGACACTAACTGTCCAACAAGACCCTCCTGCATCGACAAGGAAAAACTCTTAAAAAACCCAGTGGGAAAAAGTGAGAAACCTTGGGGAGAACTAGGGAAACCCACAGGGAGGGAGACCCATATGAGAAAGGGATCCGCTCCTCCGGACGGACAGGCTAATGATCTAGGACCTAAGCTAGCTACAGAACGTGGACCAGTGGACGCTGAACGTGGACAGGTCCGGTGCACTCCCAGGCGGGTCGGGCGGGGCAGTCCGCAGGTGCAGATGGAGGAGGCCAGGCTCAGAGATCCCGTCATCGTACCATGAAACAGACAATGGGACAACGGGTGAATAGCAATGAACAAACTACAGTCAGAATCCTAAAAATGCTAAACAGATAAAGTAGGAAGGAGGAGAGGATAGTGCTCAAGTTACCATACTTCTCCCAGCAAACTGACTCCCTATGCAGCTTGACTAACACTCTGAGGAGTTTAACCTTCTCCGAGTCTTACCTTCCTAGCCATATGCTAAACTAAAGAGGACTGTTTTAAACCTAGCCTTGAATAAAGAATAACATACAGCATAATATATAACATAATATACAACATAACACAATACATTATTGAATAATATATAACATAATATATAACATAATACAGCATATATATATAATATATACACTACATATTATATATTACCTAATTATATGCTAAATTAAAGTAAAGTGCTTTAAGCCTGGCCTTGAATGTGGAGACCGTATCTGCTTCCTTAACATAAATGGGAAGCTGATTCCACAGTAAAGGAGCTTGGTAGCTAAATGCTCTGCCACCAACAGTGACCTTTGAGACCTTAGGGACCACCAGACGTCTGGCGTTTTGTGAGCGCAACGCTCGACCTGGTTGATACGACACTAACGTGTCTTGGAGATAAGAAGGAGCCAAGCCATTTATGGCTTTATATGTTAAGAGTAGAATTTTAAACTTTATTCTGTACTCCACAGGGAGCCAGTGGAGTGATTTTAACACCGGAGTTATGTGCTCCCTCCTTTTGGTACCTGTTAAGATCCTAGCTGCTGTATTCTGAACGAGCTGGAAGCTCTTCAAAGACGCTTTAGGGCACGCTGCCAGTAAAGCGTTACAGTAGTCGAGCCTTGAGGTGACAAACGCGTGAATGAGTTTTTCCGCGTCACTTTTAGGAAGGAAATTCCTAATTTTAGCGATGTTCCGTAAGTGGAAGTACGCCGTTTTAGTTGCTTGGCTTATATAAGCCTTGAAGGAGAGTTCTTGGTCAAAAATGACTCCAAGATTCCTCACAGTGTTACTGGGTATTATACTGACATTATCGAGAGTAACCATCTGGTTAGTGAGGGAGTCACGCAGGCGCTTCGGACCGAGTAGGATCACTTCTGTCTTCTCCGGGTTGAGAAGTAGGAAGTTAAGAGTCATCCACATTTTAAGGTCCTTTATGCAGGCACTGAGCTTTTCCAGCTGATCTGTCTGATTTGGCTTCATCGACAGATAAAGCTGTGTGTCATCTGCATAGCAGTGGAAATTAATTCCATGCTTTTTAATAATGTTTCCCAGTGGCAGCATGTAGAGAGTAAAAAGAATCGGTCCGAGTACCGAACCCTGCGGCACACCGAATTCCACTCCAGAATAAGGCGACGAGTCCTGATTCACATTGACGAAGTGATATCGATCTGATAAATAGGATTTAAACCAGCCAAGGGCTGTTCCTCTAAGACCTATATCACATTCTAGCCTCTGCAGTAGAATGCTGTGGTCTATTGTGTCAAATGCAGCACTAAGGTCCAGTAGGACCAGCACTGACACTTGTCCATTATCGGCAGCTAGTAGTAAGTCATTTGTGACTTTGACTAGTGCCGTTTCAGTGCTATGATGAGCTCTGAATCCTGATTGAAAGACTTCAAACATATCATTTTCCTGCAGGTGGCAGCGGAGCTGCTCAGCTATAAGTTTTTCCAGGATTTTAGATATAAAAGTGAGGTTTGAGATCGGTCTGTAGTTTGTAAGTATTTCTGGGTCCAGGTTTGTTTTCTTCAGAAGGGGTTTGATTACCGCGGTTTTAAAAGCTTGTGGGACATAGCCACATTGTATGGATGCGTTTATTATATTTACGATAGGCTCAATTATCAAAGGAAGTATGTCTTTGAAGAGCCATGTCGGGACTGCGTCTAACATGCAAGTTGAGGCTTTTGAGGATGTGACCACAGAGATCACCTCTGCTTGGCTCACAGCCATGAATTTATTAAGGCCCACTGAAGAGTCTAAGTGGGAAGTCACGTATGCCGCTTCAACCTGTCCACCACTAACAGCAGGAGCAACCTCCTCCAGCTTGTCACGGATGGATGTAATTTTATTATTAAAGAAGTGGAGAAAGTCGACACTGCTCAGTGAGCTTGGAATTTTAGGCTCGATTGCGCTATGGCAGTTTGTGAGTTTAGCGACGGTACCAAACAAAAATCTACTGTTGTTTTTATTCGCTTCTATTAAAGTTGAATATTATTGAGTTCGAGCCCCGCGAAGGGCCTTCTTGTAGTTTCGGAGACCTGCTTTCCACTCCCTGTGGACAGGCTCCGAGTGGGAGTGGCGATATAGCCTCTCCAATTTTCTGACGTCCTGTTTTAAAGTGTGGAGTTGAACACTGTACCAGGGCGACGATGATCTAATCCTAATGGTTTTCTGTTTTAAAGGAGCTGCTGCATTTAATGCAGATTTTAAAGACTCCATAGTGTTGCCCACCGTTTGGTCAATGACTGAGGGACTGCAGCAGCTGTGAACAGGTTCACCTGCAGCAGTATTCAACATAGGCTGTATTAGTTCTTTGAACCTTGTGATAGATTTATCATTTAAGGTTCTTTTCATTATGGTTTTATCTTGCGGGACAGGAAAGTCCTCCAAAGCGAGATCAAACGTGATCAGAAATGGTCAGACAGCAACGAGCTTTGACGCTGGATGTCAACATTGGAGACATCACAGCCGTAGGTCAGGACAAGGTCCAAGGTGTGGTTATGAATGTGAGTAGGTTCCTCGACATTCTGAGTAAAACCAACACCGTCTAGTACGGCGCTGAAAGCTTTGTTTAAGCTGTCAGTGCTGTCGTCCACATGTATATTGAAGTCTCCAGCTATAACTATGTTTTCCCATTCCAAAACTAGGTTTGAAATGAAGTCAGAGAATTCTGTTAGGAACTCGCTGTAAGGACCAGGAGGTCGGTATAAAACTATAAATAGTACTGCTTTTTGTTTTCTCCACCCAGGACAGGTGATTGAAAGTGTTAAGTTTTCAAACGAGTGAAAAGCGTTGTTGGTTTTGGGACTAAGAACCAAGTTGGTGTGTGATATAATCGCAACACCACCGCCGCGACCTGTAGCTCTGACTTTCTGGTAGTTAACATGCGTCGGAGGAGTGCACTCATTCAATCTGACGTAGTCGTCCTGTTGGAGCCAAGTCTCCGAGAGCGCTAACAGATCCAAGCCCTTGTCTATAATAAGTTCGTTTATGAGAAGCGATTTAGACGAGATTGATCTGACGTTCATTAAACCACATTTAACAACCCTACTGTTAGAACTATTTCTGTCTGTCTGAACTTTTATTAAGTTACTGTGTCTGACACCTAGGTCAGATTTCCTCGCATATAGTGCTTTAGACTTCAAGCGGGGAACACACACAGTTTCAATCTGACTAGGTTCTGAGGCTAGTAACTGAGCACACACAGGCACACACACACATGCACACACAGTTTCAATCTGACTAGCCTCTGAGGCTAGTAACTGAACAGATGGGGGCTCAGAGGTTGTGGCAGAGCAGCTCTGCACCCGGGCCTCAGTTCTGCATCGTCATTTGAGCCGAGCAGAACAGTTTAGAGCCAGGGCCAAATTCTTAGCCAAAAGGGATGTACCCGCCAACGTTGGGTGGATATCATCCGAGCGGATGAGACTGGGCTTTCCCCAAAAGGCACTCCAATTGTCAACATGAACAACACCACTTCGAGGGCACCAGCCAGACAGCCAGCGGTTGAAAGCCGAGTGTCTGGTGAATGCTTCTGCACTGCTAGTGCTAGGTAGGGGCCCAGAGAAGATGACAGTGTCGGCCATTGTGCTAGCCAGCTTGCACACGGCGGCGACTTGCAGCTTCAACACCTCGGACTGTTTCCGTCGAACGTCATTACCACCCGCGTGAATAACA